CTAATGATACTATTCAGTAGTTACCTGAAGTTGATTTGAACAAGATTCAAGCCAGTAACTTTATACTTCAAATTCTGAAGGCTTAACCATTAAGGCATCAATCCATACTTCAGAAAACATGAAATATCTGAGTGATTGAAGCCCAAAAAGTCGAAAACAGTGAAAAATATGCTTAGAAACACTTCTAATTGAAAATGTACTGTCTAACTCAAACCATTTAATCAATTGATTTGATTGCATTGTGTTTGATATTGAAAAGCTATGAGAAAAACCCTACACATAAACTTATCCTGCGAGAAGACATTAATCAGAAAAACATATCAAAAGCTTCCATATAGATAATGACCACTTGATCAATACAAACTCATCATACAAGAATTATATTAAAAGACAACTATCTCATAATACCTTCAAAGTTATCGTAAATGACTTGAGAATGCAAAATGGTAATTGAAATTACCAAAACCTTTTTTCGCATTACAGATACCAATCTAGTAAAAAATAAATTATATAAGAATGTAAAATTATTTCAATAAAACACTAAGGTGGAAAAATGTTAATCAGTCAGTCAGTCAGTAACAACGTAGAACTTCGTACGTACGTACGTACATCAGTTCGAGTTGCCATACCACATTAGCACAGAGATGCAGTGGTCGATTCAAATCCCGTAGTGTCAGAGGTAGTAAGAGTATAAGCAGTAATCGGAAACATTAGGGTTCGGAGATGTTATTTAAAGAGTATAATCAGTGAAATAAATTTGGGAAGAGAAAAAAAAAAAGACAAGGAGGAATTAGGAGATCAAAATTTGGGAGAACACAAAGAGTGTATGCACCTATGCCACTGCAAACGATTTTGAGCCATGTCATTCAGGGTCTCTGACCATCGGCTGCCATCATCTCGCGGTCCCCAACCAGGTAGTCTACACCTGCCAACATGGCTCAGTTCACTTGTCAGCGACCTCATGGATTTGTGCCATGTTTAGCTTCTTCCAACCTAATCCTACACCATGAAACATCGCTCGTCAGTGGTTGGGCATACGTAACACATGTCACAGCCATCTCAACTAATGAAGTTTCATTAGTTCATCAATCGATTCGCCACTCTTACCTAGTACCCCTTTCCTAACAACTGCGTTACTTACTCGATAGTCCCAGGATATACGAGCAGTGTTTCGAAGACACCTATGATCGAATACTAGTAAACTACGAATATCCTCTACTCTTACTGGCCATGTTTCACTGCCATAAAGTAGGACGGAACGAACTGCTGTGCAGTACACCCGTCCTTTGGTTGATAGACATTTATCTCGCCTATGCCATAAATGACGCAAGTTGGCAAAAGCTAGTCGAGCCTTTTATATTCGTGCTAAGATGTGTTAGTCAATGAAAAAGAATTACGTAACAACTAAGCAGTTTCACACAAATGATGCCAGAAACGAAAATTCCACAACTGATAATCAATAACAGCATTATATAACCAATTCATCATTGTTTTTAATAGATAGATAATAGTAAATGTTAGTTCATCTTTATTTTTTTCTTTTTCTACTACCAAAAACTTGACTAATACTATTTAGATTTTTATTTTCATCCCATAATGTACTTGATTATTAATAGTCATAATTAAAATAAAAACCAAACTACCAATTGTTTATCAGTATGAATATGAATAAAAGTCTCTTTTTTTGTCGAAAAGAAACAAATTTGATCATTCAACATGAAGAAGAAAGTCCTACCAATATTTTCAGGTAAATATATAGTAGCAATAAAATTTGTAACATCCACAACAACATGGTAAATTAGTACAGTGCACTTTTTTTTGACGTAGTTATATTTCGATTTTAAAATATCAAGGATTTTTTTCCCTTCCTCTTACCCAATTAATTTCATAATTAAATTATGGTTTAGCAGGTGAAGTGATGAAAATAACTTCACCATTGAACATCTATATTTCATGATCAGTATTGTATCATTATTTACTTTGCTAATATGTAATACTAACTTGTAAAGAGTACACAATCACGCTGACTGATTATAGATTAGTAACCGGTGTCATTTCTATATAATCCAAAGTATAAATTAAATTTTGTTAATCAATTTATAAACGAGATCGGTTTCTCAACTGTAACATCATAATGTATGACACTAAGTCAAATACCATGGAGAGCATACGTAGCATTAAGATTGCAAATAATGTCTTACTGAAGAGTGATGAATACCACAAAACATAAGTTTAAGAAATTCCACTAATACTTTCTAACCAATCACCTATCAACACAGCCTGTGTTTTTACACTGACAGGAAATCGTGAATATTTTAGTAGAACTAATCGTGTTTTCTAGATTATCATTATTGTTGCCGTGATGTTCTTAACAGTAATCAACTATTTACATGAGACTGATTCATTTGAACGTCTAAAAAATTCTCACTATGCAAAGATTTAAGCCCTTATTCCAGAGTTTGTTGAAGATAGAAAAGCCTGTGCTTGAACATCTTACAATAGCAATTTTTGCACTGTCTTTCGATCAGTATTGCGTCGCGATAATTTCCGGATTGATTAAATCCACTGAGTTGATAAATAAATGTGTTATTGATAAGATCCGGCTAGTACTAAGGATTAAAAAACATGAATTACAACTTGAATATTTTAACCCTATGAGGTCAGCTGGAGCTTCAGATAGCTCAGCGGTAAAGCCTGAATCCAAGTTGGTTTAGATTCTGTAGAGAGCATCGGTATCCTGAGTGCTGCAGATACTCTTAGCTATAGACAGGTTGAATTTCGGAATATTCAGTGAGTCACCCTACCCATAACTCTTCAATTACGAAACACGACCTGTGGAATTCGAAGACATACATAACCTGGAAGTGCTTGCTTGTAACGTATCTTCGAAACCTTGCTAGTGCACCCAAATGCCCTGGTATAGTTGAGTGGGATGGGCCCTCCCTCCCTCTCGAAATACAGCTTCTGCCAGGGAAATAACCCAGTGCCTTCTCGTGGCGGGGGTGTTATCTACGAAAGCGAGGACTAAAAGCCAATATCCGGATCCCAAACCAATGGTGCACATGGGCTTCAGTATCTTGCGGGAACAAATGGCGTATGAACCAATTGTTGGTCACCGGCCACCATGGGATTTCATCTCCTCACGATGTTCCACTGCCTTGTGGGTAAGACATTTAAGTCAAAGGCTCGGGGTGTGGCCCCCTGGGAAAACCACCTGCTTCGGTCTAGGCACCCGGCAGTATCACAACCCGCACACACATGACGATATTTACTGAAAACTCTATTCTCGCTTCGATTTACAGTCGAACAATTCACATTACTATTATTTACTACGTCATTTATCCACTCTTTTATTCTCACCGAATACGAATACTGAAGCAGTTTTTCTGAAACCGCGTGCACCATTCAAACTGGCTGCCTTCAACGTTCGCACACGTATGCAGGTCGGACAACAGATAGCGCTGACTATGTCTTTAGAAAGTCTTAATATCGACGTTTGTTGTCTATCCGAGACCCGTATTCAAGACTCTGGTGAAGTACTGCTAATTCGCTCTCCATCTATCGCTTCAGAAAGCTTGTTTCGCATCCGTTTATCCGGAGACCCTGTGGCATCTCTGACTGGTCTTGCTGGCGTTGGTGTTGTACTAAGCGCTGGAGCTGAGGCAGCACTAATCGATTGGATCCCCATTAACAGTCGGTTATGTGCTGTTAGATTAGAAAGTTCTATCAAAGTGAGAAGAAATCGGCGTGAGAAACGATGTCTTTTCGTCATCTCCGCCTATGACATAGGTCCACTTGATTTTATAGACAAGGGAGATTAGTAAAACATTCATAACTAATTTTTTGTTCTGATATTCATAACTCAAAAGCTAAGTGAATAACGAATTGAGCTTTAAGGAATTCACTTCAAAGTGAATAATAACCAGTAAAGTAAAGGTAGGTACATTTAGATGACAAGACAAGAAAACATATGACTTAGATTACATCGCTAATTCAAAAATATAACTAACTAGTAGGTATAAACGATGTAGAATTATTTGTATCATCTTTCAAATCACCATAACTATTTATGAAATACTATCTTTTGATTAACAATAATAACAATAACAACAAAACAAATAAAGCATTCGTTTCTATAAAGACTATGCATTCACTTTAATTTTTAAAACACAAAAAGGCAAACAAACAAAAAAACGAGAATCAAATCAAATCAAATAATGAGTATTACAACGAAACAAAACATCAGTGACAATATTGCAATTTATATTTTACAGGGAATAATAACAATAATAATTAAGTGATAAAATTATTTTATTTATTTGGTTGCTATACACAAAATAAAATAATTTTAAATGATTGAAAATTGAAAAAGAAATTGAACAAACAGAATGGATGATAAGAATAGCAAAATAGTGAGGGAAAGAAAAACATACAGCAATGGTAGTATATGGTGTAATTTGTAAGTGTGGATACCCATTAGTTGTAAAAAATAAAAAAAAACAACAACAACAGGAAATAATCAAATGGAATTTTACAAGGAAATATACATAATTAAAATAAGATTAACAATACTATATGAATAAAGAAATAGATGGAAATAATTTCGAAATGCAGGTATTTTTAATTCAAAATGCAGAATGTAAATAAAACCTCAATAAATTGAACATACACACACACACACACAAGATGAGATGAAATGCAGAGACTTAAAAATAGTTACAATAAATAAGATCAAAAACTTGAAAGATGTTTTCTTCTCTAAAAAATAAAATTACTTTTCCTTATAAAAGTATTATAATGATATCGATGTAAGAAACAATGGTACATTTTAACCAATGAGATGTTCAATGTCAATATTTTGTTTAGTTTTTTTTTTTTGTTTTTAAGGGGAAAAAACAACACATATATACACAAACATACAGACTATACATCCGCAGTTTGATTAACTGACAGTAATTAGATGAAAGAGGATTGGTAAAAGGATATATGAATTTGTTATTTTAAACATTTGTTTGTGTTCGTTGATCATAAGTGTCTAACAAGCTAGTACTATTATTGTTACTACTAATACTAATGCTATTGTCACCATTACTATTATTATTATTACCTTGACTATTCAAATCAAATGAAGATGAGTGAAAAAAACGAGGTTGTTGCTGTTGCGGTGTGTCGTCTAGACCACAAGAATCTGAAGATTTTCCGATAGAAGTATCTTGTAATGAATGATCATGATGATGTTGATGAAGATTATTATTGGTATAGGGCATACCGAATCGTATCGGATTTTGAATCGCTGCAGCAGCTGCCAATGAAGAATAATGACTAGCTGGATAATAGGCGTAAGATCGAGGTAAACGATATTGTGATACATTTGACAAACAATTGCCATTATTATGATTATTCATCATACATAAACTACGTTGTGGCGGTCCACCTAATGGTATATGATCTAACCGCATAGTCTCCGGTGATGTAAAACTAACACTACGATTAACAACACGTAAATCGGAATTCTTATGTTTTTGTTCATAGAAATTTAAATAATGTTGTATTTGTTCTTGTTCATAATAATAATTATCATTAGACAATAGATTAGATCGTGGATGACCAACAATTGTTTTGTTGTTATCACCGTTTAATGAATAATACTGATTATTTAACCAAGGAGTTAAATGTCCAAAATGACAATGATTCACTTCATCTGATAGATTTTTCTCTTCTGTTACTGGCTCATATGTTACATTGTGATTGCAGGAAAAAGCAAGAAATGATGAAGGACTACATATTAAAGGATTTGTTGATGTTTCATTCAAATTACTCCAATTCATTCCATTACTGTGATCTGATACTGTTATTCCAGTATTAGTAGACGTAGCACTACAATCATGATCAGTACGTATGCTACGTTTTTGAACATCTGTTGGAATATTGCCTACACCGTGGATATGACCGCTTTGATGAGTGCAAACATTATTTTCCGGACAGAAATGTAAAGGACTAGCAAGATTGTGCATAAAATAATTTGGCACAGATGGGAGAAAATTTGGTCTGACCAAGTAGGGCTGAGACAGATCAGGTAAACCAACCTACACGAATAGATGTTTCGAAAATAAGATCACAATGATTTGTCACTTAGTTTCAGTGTGATTCATGAAGTAAATATGAATATATTAAAGATACACACAACTGTCGTATTTATTAAAAAAAATATACAACAACCGAAATAGCCAAATTCAATTGATATACTGTTTCTACATTGATTCACAAGTTTTTTTTATATTTCTGATGCAGTGATATGTCTAGGAGTGTTCAATACAACTGGTTTGAGAACATAAGTGGTTGACAAATTTAGACACCAAATCTTTCAACCAACTCAATTTTAAACGACAGAGAATTCTATGATAGCTTCTCCGATAAAAAGTAGTTTAAAATCGAATACATAACCTATTGATTGAATTAATAAAAATAATGTAGTTCTAATATTCCAGTCAGTAGAAAAGTTGAATTTTCTGACGTTTCGTGACTCAAAGTAGGCCACTTCTTCAGAGAATAAGAAAACAAGTTAAATAAACCCAAGTTTGAATAGTACAAATGGAACAAAGCAAGCTTATTTGGTGTGAAATCTCAGCACGGATTCGAAAAGCTCGTTTGGCTTTTGACAACTTACGTCACCTATGACGAAGGCGAGATATCCGTCTATCTATAAAAGGACGAGTATACTGCGCGGCAGTCCGTTCTGTTTTACTTTACGGCAGCGAGACATGGCCATTGAGAGTAGAAGACACTCGTAAGCTATTAGTATTTGACCACAGATGCCTAAGAAATATTGCTGTCGACTGTTGGGATCACCGGTTTAGTAATAGTGAGGTTAGACACAAGGTATTAGGGAATGATGATAAATCAGTTGATGAGGTTGTGAATTTTCATTGACTGAGATGGTTGGGCCACGGGGTACGTATGCCTGAACACCGATTACCACGATGTGCAATGCTAACCGGTGTTGGAGATGGTTGGAAGAAGGTTAGGGGCGGCCAAACCAAAACCTGGCATCAGTCCTTGTAGACACTAAACTCTAGTCTGAGCCATGTTGGTAGATGCAGACTACTTGGATGGGGTCCGCGTGACTGTCGTAACCAATCGTTGGAGACTCTTGGTGACATGGCTCAGAATCGATCACAATGGCGTAGGTGTATATACTCCCTGTCTTCCCTTAAACTAAGAGATTAAAATCACTTCATATCTTTCTTTCTACTAACTAATTCTTTCTTCCTGTACTGTATCCTTATATGCAATCTTTCTCCTATATATTACCACCTTTGACCTAACCACTCCTATGAATCCGGTGTTCATTGTGCTGTGCTAATCAGGTATGGCAACCTGGACCGATGCATATATGTGCCTGGTCCTACGTTGTAGCTGGCTGACTGATTTGGTGCGATTAATTACAAACAGGTTTGATCAAATATTCTTGCTTCGTTCCCTTTTACTAATTAAACTTGAGTTTAATTATTCTCTGACGAAGTGGCCTACACTGAGAGAAAAAAACGCCATAAAATTTAGCTTTTCTATTTATTGGGATATTAAAACTATATCATTTTCATTATTAACAATCTATTCAATGTTCAAGTCAAACCTTGGTAATGACAACTACAAACTATTGATTGAATGTTCGCATTTTTCATTTACATTCTGTTCTTCATAATTATGAAATGGACAACTATTACTCATCGATAAATTATCTTCAGCTTCGTGTTTTTTTCCTGAGCCTCTGGATCATTACACTATTTCCATTTAACATTCTGCATATTTATTTTCTAGAAATGGGATTATATACACTGTTATTATTTCAATCACTTCACTAAGTATCACGAACATTTTCTTTTACTGTCCTGACTTGGTGTTCACTTCACTTGGTACCCACATGTATCATATGTTTTATGTTTTAACTAATTGACTGGTAGTTTTCCACTACATCATTCAATCTTATTACATTTCATGACACCTAAAGGTTTTTCCAAGTCATACATGATGGACGTAATAAACAGTAAGCAATCTGTAAGAATGGTTAATGTGACAACAGCACAGAAACGAAAATAAAGTGAAATGACAATATAGCAGACGAAAGGAGGAAAATATCTCACTTGATGTGGTGTTAAATACGATGCATTTTGCCATGTTTTATAAATTTGTTGGTCTGCACTAGAATTCGATAAATGTAGTTGGGATGAACTCAATGGATAACTAGTGGGTTCTTTATGAGTAGGTGGAACAACTATTTGAGACGATTCGGGAATGGACGATGAAGGGTTGGTATAACCAGTTGAGGTACTGTTTATTATATCACGACCAACAGACGATTCTGCTGTACTGAAAGACTCAGTAGTATTGAGAGTGTCCTCGTTTGGTGGATGCAGTTGTGAGCAAGGTGAAAATGAATGGCTTAGGGATGTGTTTGCTAGTGTCACACATGGTTTTTTGCAATTTAGAACTACCTAAGTGACTTCCGTGATCTGATTGGCCAATATATGGAGGAGCTCTTGTTGAGGCGCTGTGTGACCTTTCTCTTTCACAATACATAAAATTATTTCGAGGCACATGAAACATATAAGGAAATGCTTTTGGATCAAAAAATGATGGAGGGTTGTGGACCATTGGTAAAGATGAATTAGACGAACCAACATAGTTAGTATGTGCGAAACAGGGGCAAATGTACATAGGATTAGAACAGTTCATCGGTACACCACATGGGACATAATAACTGTTGAAATTTGAAGGTAATTTATTGGAGAACCGGTTATCAGATGATTCAGGCACTGAAACATTACAACGACTGTTTCGATCATGCAAACTCTTAATTGATCTATCTTCTGATAGACTAGTATGAGGTTCCTTTTCAAAAGATTCTACAGTTGGAACATCACTACACTTGCTAAGATTCAATGAAGCAAGATCTACTGCGCTTGTTACGATACCTACTTCCTGATGAATTTGATCATGTGAGCACATAGAGGAAACTAGATCACTTGGTATATATGAATCTGAATGTGGTGCAACTGCAGGATATAGGGTAACTGCAGCGGCCGCAGCTGCAGCAGCCGCGACTGCCGCCGCTGCAGCGGCAGTTCTACGCTCATCGAGTGTTGGCAGTTGGAATAATAGAGTGAGTTTTGTACATTGTTCCAATCTGGTGTGATATATGGAGCATAATAATCAGGGTAATAAAATAGAGGTAATGCAGGATAATGGGCAACTAAAGGATATTGACCAGTATGAAGGTACGTAGGAAAAATCTGAGATGTTGAACCCGGTAAGGTATGATATGCTGAATGATTGGTAGGGGAAAGAAATTCGGACGGTTGACTTGAGTGAGTAGTTGAAACATGTGCAGAAGAGTCACAAATTGAAGAAGAGATTGAATTAGGAGATATAAGATTACCACCCACTGCAATGCGAGATGAAGGTGGTATTTTAGGGGTTAGTTGATCACCTTTTTTAGGCAAATCAAAACAAGCCGGAAACACTTTAACTGGCTCACATTCTTCATGAGATAATTTGGACATAATACCATTCGATTTGTCAAGAGGAATGGCATTTAGAACAGCATCAGCTGATTCATAGGCTCGAGAAACATACAAGTGTTGAGGAGTTCGATTCTCGTTCACTAAAATACTCTTATCTGTTTCCGATCCACTGTTTAAATTTTCATTTCCCTTGCAATTAGAATTTAGATTACTATACTTGTTTTTATTAGATTTAGACAATATAATCTGTGATTCCTTTGATGTACTCTTACCACCAGATATTGTATATGATGACAATTGTAAACATTTGCCAACAATTGATTGTTTTTCAAACTGCGGAAAATCTTGACGGTGAAGATGATTATGAGGCTGTAAATGAACACCATTATTTCTTTCCTTAACATGAAATCCATCAATTTCTGGACGATCTTCACCCTGTTGATGTTGAATTGAACTGTTGCTATTATTATTAGTATCATCATTATTACTAGTAGCTTGATCACTTTCATGACGTCGATGGTAATTACTTGAAAGATCTTTCGGCGGGCTAGATTGAGAATTTGATTCTGGTACTAAACGAATATTCGGAATAACGAAAATGGATAAAGCTAAACGAAAAAAAGAAGAATAACGTCAGTTGATACAGACATCATGAAACAAAATCAATCGAAATTAGTTATACGGGTTATTATCGGTTATAGTGACACTGACAAAAATGTATTAAGCGTTTACGTATTTTCTAATTACGTGGTGTAGACAGAGATTAATATGTTGGAAAACATACATATATCATAGACAGAAAAAAAGTTATTTAATTCCTGTTATGTTAAACGACAACTATAGCAACAGTAGGACAGATGACAGTAGACATATCTATTACGAACAAACAATATAATGTACACCTCTGGATTATTATTTGATTTAACGGGAAGAATAATGAAGTATAAATTTCGAGATTATCATATGAATGATTGTTATTCAGATTTCTATTGATTAATTAATAAACTTTCGTTTAATCCATATATTCTTGTCAAATATTTCGTTATTCCAGACATTACATGAATCAACTATTCCACCATTACTCACTTATCACTAAGTTACATACACATAATAATTCTCTAATTCTGTTTCTATGTGATCAGACGCTTCAAGTGCATTATTGTGTCAGCTTCGAGTCATGGTTGAGTACAAAAAAACTGAAGGTCATGAGTTTGTTCCCGGTGCGGTCGTGGCAGCGCACTGATGAGGAGCTCCACAATAGGAAGAAACAGCTATTTAGTGCTCCAATCGTTATCTAACTTGATCGGTTTATGATTTCAATAGCAATTAACAGACTTTACAAACCCTAATAACAATAAAAACAAAATCAATGAAAATGTCAGCAAAAAATTTTCAGAAACAAAACAAAATAAAACTTAAAACTTACTATCTGGAAGACAAGCAAGTTGAGCAATAGGTAAATGATTAGAGAAATATGCACTACGCATAGCAGCTCGTGCACTAATTCGCTTGGATGGTTGAAGTTGTAGAAATTGTAATGCTAATGACTCTGCATGTGGCGCACGACTTAGACGGGATATAACCCTGTGTAAAGGTCGATTAGGATAGAAGTGTAAACGTCTTTGCTTTTGATCATTATCAGCAGATTTACGTGCACGCTCGTCACATTCATTATTGCCAACAGTTAAACCTGATGATGCACTTTTTGTTCGTTGAATAGTTGAATTAATATTTAAATCACCTAACAATGCTTTATATTTGGGTAATTTAGATACACCGGGCCAAGTTTCTTCATTTGGTGTACCCATAATCTAAGAGAGAGATGTATAATAAGCAGGAAATAAGGAAGACGTTGTTGTTGCTGTCATTCGACAAACCATGTTGAAAATCTTTTATTACTACAAAAACATTTTTTTAGAATTTACACAACTTTCAAGCATAAATAGCTACACAACACAATCTACACTACATTAATATTCTAATTCGTTCATATTGGTTGTTTAAATATTCTACTTGATGTTTAGGACTAGAATTGACTATCTCTCTCTCTCAAGCATCCCATTGCACAAGTCAGAGGATATCTGGACACAGTAGCTAAGTGGGTAATATGAAGTGAACAATACAGTGTTCGAACCCCGCAGTGAACACCAACGGGAACGCGGGACCTGGATTCCACAGCTAATCGCCACTCATTTCTGTCTATAATTCTAACTCATGTCAAAGTAGATTTTGAATTAAAGACTAATACAACTTATTTTAAAAGTTCTCAGGCATTTCAACTGATACATTAGCTCTTATACAACTCATTCTACTTAGCGATACAATTGTGTGGTCAGCATTGATCTATACTTTATTTGTATTGTTGCTAATAATAATATCAAATGTGTGGGGCCGAACCATTCAACGAATTGCTCATAAGTCACTTCGTTAATAATAATTCTACTGTTTAAAGTTCTTGATTTCAAACTTAGACTTGTAAGCTACTACTGTTTAACCACAGATGTCTTAGAAATATTACTCTCAACAGCTGGGATCACCGGTTTAGTAATAGTGAGGTTAGACACAAGGTATTAGGGAACGATAGTAAATCAGTTGATGAGGCTGTGAATTTTCATTGACTGAGATGGTTGGGCCATGTGGTACGTATGCCTGAACACCGATTACCACGACGTGCAATGCTAACCGGTGTTGGAGATGGTTGGGAGAAAGTTAGGGGCGACCAAACCAAAACGTGGCATCAGTGCTTGAAGTCAATAACTTGTGGTCTGAGCCATGTTGGTAGATGCAGACTACTTGGTCGGGGTGAGCATATAGTAGTCGAGAGGTTGGTGTATCTAGGTAGCTCCATAAGTGCTGGTGGTGGCGTGAGTGATGAGATCAATACATGTATAGTGAAAGCCAGAGCGTCTTATGCCAGTCTGGGCCATCTTTGGCGCCTTCTGATGTCAGTCTGACTGTGGAAAATCGGATCTACAACGCGTCGGTGAGAGCAGTTCTGCTCCATGCTTGTGAAACCTGGCCTCTCCCAGTTCAGGATGTTAGACGACACTTTGTGTTTTATTATCGTTGTCTCCGAAGAATCGCTCATATCCAGTGGCGACACCATGTTAGTAATGCAAAGGTTAGGCATCGTGCAATCGGTGTCACCATCTCGAAACATCGACTTCGGTGACTTGAACATGTTCTACCAATGTCGTCCCAGAGAACTCCATGTCGTGCATTATTTGCCGATGCTGGGACTGACTGGTTGGAATAAGCTGAGAGGTGATCAGTGTATGACATGGTGTTGTGGTATAAAAGAAAGTTGCAAAGGACTGGTTTCTGTTAGTCCTTCACGACTCCCTGGCTTGGGTCCTAGAGATGGTACGACAGAGTGGCTAGAGACGTTATCAGTTATAGCTCAAAATAGGAGCCAGTGGCGATCCTGCTGTAACATTCTTTTACTTTCTTCATAAAAAGTGGTTGTATCTTCCTTAACTGAAGGAATTCTTTCTGGTTGTACCCTTCCGTTTCCCCCACTATTCTTATTACACTACCTTACATTAATCTGATCGTTATTGTTCTTCCTTTCTTTTTCTTTTACGCGCCTCACCTCTTTTTTTCTCTTCCCATTTTCATTGTTTTGTGTGACGCATATATATTTGGTGCCCTCTTGTACCAATATTTATGTGTTCAAATAAATAAATAAACTTGGTTGGGTCTGCGTGACTATCGTAACTAATGGTTGGAGACTCTTGGTGACATGGTTCAGAATCGATCACAGTGGCGTCGATGCATACACTCTGTCTTCCCTTAAACTAAGAGATTAAAATCGTTTCATAACTTTCTTTCTACGTACTAATTCTTTCTTCCTTTACTATATCCTTATATGCAATATTTCTTTTACATATTACCACCACTGAATTAACTACTTCTATGAATCTGGTGTTCATCTTGCTGTGCTAATGAGCTGCGGCAACTAGGACCGATGCATATATGTGCCTGGTCCTATGTGGTAGCTGACTGACAATCAATTTTGATAATGTTTAAATTTTGTTAAGCCCTTTTCTTAACTTAACAGACAATGTTATTCGAACAGTAACAATATGCATACTTCTTTGTACTAATTATGATCACCATCTTGTCCGTAAAAACGTGTATGCTTGGTCTTCATGATAGCCTAGGCGCATATCTCTCTCTAGCTTAAAAGTTAATCGCTTAAATATCGCTCAATGAATCATCCTCTTCCCCAGGTATATATGTACTCGAATCCTATTATTAGCCTTTCCTTTGCCTTGCTGTGCCGTTATACGATTGGCTATAAATTTGCCCCTGTTTTCACTCACATACACATATTCACCTCTGCTTTATATTTGCTCGATGTACTTATAACTTGGTTGTCTGTGCTATCCGCTAATAAACTGGGGTTGCCACTTTTTATTGCCTTCTGATTTCAAACACCGTTGAGATTTATATAATACGGTTATCAAGGCGACCGATTAACGAAACTAAGCCATTACAAACTCGTCAGGGCAAGAAGTGAAATAAACAAATGATATCGTTTAGTGAAAGATACAGACTAAACAAGATGTCATTACAATGACAAAGATAGAATATGATTGTATGAACGATGATGCAATTCATTTTTTTTACAAAAAACGATTTCACATGACAGTTTCTAACCAATGATAACAATCATTTCATAAAATAAACTATAGTCTATATGAGTCAGATTGATCGACAACATAGCACAAACATTATGTCTATGCATTATTCAAGTAACTTGTTTAAACATTATCGTTCTTAACAAACACTTTATTAAATCTTAAATAGTACTGACTGCCAATTGTTAATAAGGTTATGAAAGTACTATTTACTTCTGTCATTCAGTAAAAAAGAACCCAATAATAAAATGAATAAGTGAAATAAATTGATGATATTCTAAATCATAACTCATCATGTAGTAAAAATTTGTGTACATTCTTTCAAGCCACAGCCTATATGTCAGAGTTAAAAATACTAACAGCCAATTACTCTAACCATGGTAGGTGTAGACCAGTTTGAACCTGTAAATTAGTGGCTAAAAGTCAGACGACTTAAGGCAATGAGCAACCGGATTCACAAAGAATATAAGACGAAAAGAAAATTAATGATATTGCAAAGCATGAAGCTGATATCAATTCACTCAAGTGAAATATTTGGCATCTATGATTGCCCCTATTTCATGGCATGAAATATATATATATATATATATATATATATATATATATATATATTCCTTTAACTGAGACGTCTGAAATCTGAATGTTAACATGCTAATATGTTAAATACGAGAAGAAATTACAAGAAAATTAAATTGTACACATCTAACAACGACAACATAAATGGATTGTAAAAACTAACCCGAAAAATTTTATCAAGTTGATCCACTGAATCTTTTGAACCGGGAAATGTTGCCACTCCTGATATCATTTCCGTGAAAATACAACCAACACCCCTTGAAAATAAGCAAAAGATGATTTTAAAAAAATGATAATTGGATATTTTGAGGGAGTTTTACTGATTAGGAAAATTAATCGAGAAGACTAACATATTACTTAAAATTGATGTCTAAATCACATTATTAAACGTATTTTGCTTTAAACTCTTAGGAAAACTCAAATGTTCAATTGTTATGGTTGATGCCCACAATAAAGACGAAAGGGTATGAGCTTAATGAAAAAAGACCTAATTGATCAAGGAGATCGAGAAATAATATACGATGCAACATCAGCAAGAATAACCAAACGAGATCAGGAAGAGTGGGTGTTGAGCTTCCGATCAGTTTTCATAACTCCAGACAAAATAATAAAATGAGTGTGTATTATCGGATGCCGGTGAAGACAAACAATTTTATAAAACATATCAAGTGAGATATTTTCCTCCTTTCGTCTGCTATATTGTCATTTCACTTTATTTTCGTTTCTGTGCTGTTGTCACATTAACCATTCTTACAGATTGCTTACTGTTTATTACGTCCATCATGTATGACTTGGAAAAACCTTTAGGTGTCATGAAATGTAATAAGATTGAATGATGTAGTGGAAAACTACCAGTCAATTAGTTAAAACATAAAACATATGATACATGTGGGTACCAAGTGAAGTGAACACCAAGTCAGGACAGTAAAAGAAAATGTTCATGATATTTAGTGAAGGGATTAAAGTAATAGACCTGTCTCTGGAGGATAAGTGAAATACAACAATGCTATGTTATGTAAAACGTAAAAATGGTGTCTACTGATGTAACATGATCAACTAGTCACAATAATATTGATGTGAATTGGTCAAACCAAACATTTTGAGATATACAAGCAGAAAAGAAATGGTAAACTTTATTAGCTTCCCCTTTTACAATAACAATAAAATTTCCTATAATATCAACCAGTTATCATGAAGAATATGTGTTGCAACATTCCAAACAGTATTGAAGAGTAACGATGTAGGATGTCTTTAAAAGAAAAAAACATTCATTTCAAGCAGAAATTATTTCAACAGTTGAGACCAAGAGTCAATTGAAGCTAGACCACCATGGAAAACCTGGAAGCACTGGACAGCCGTTTCGTCCTATTGTGGGACTCCTCAGAAGTGAGCACCCACGAAACCGCCTCGCGAGATTCGAAACCAGAACCAATCAGTCTCATACATTCTGATCAATTGATAAGTTTAGACAAAGGAAAAAGTATGAAATAGGTAGGATAACATGAATTCATCAAATTTTAAAGTTTTCTCATCAACTGTAAACAGACTAAATATACATTTACAATATTATTATAAAAAGTTTTACAATGAACGACATAAGGAACAAGACAAGAAAACAGCATATTTAACATAAGATGTAGTTTAAACAAACTAAACGTGGATTAATAGGCTTTTGACGTCAATAAAGTATTTACAAATGTGAACACTATACATTTAATAGATAACGGATAGAGAGTGCACATTACAAGTGTTTAAAATAACTAAAATGCAAAGGCTACTGCCATCAACCGCTTTCAACTCAACTTTTTTTATGTTGATACTAACTAAACTTTATTGCTTATGATATGTAAAACTTTGTATAATAATGTGAATATACGTTGTTTGCAGATAATGAAAAGCTATGAAATATGAAATGAATTCATGCTGCTCTGTTGATCTTTTTTCTCTCTCGTTTTATTTACAACGATAATTACTTTCACAGATTGAAATCATGAGTCAGTTGAAGTAAGACCACCATTGAAAACCTGGAAGCACGAAGCCAGTAGGTCCTGGGTTCGAATCCCATGGGGTGTGGAATCGTGGATGCGCACTGCTGAGGAGTCCCGTACTAGGACGAAACGGCCGTCCAGTTCTTCCAGGTTTTCAATGGTGATCTAGCTTCAACTGACTCATGATTTCAATCTGTGAAAATTTCTAAAAATCTCCACAAACCCCTTCTGATAATAATTACTTTGTTTCTTGAAACGAAAAAATTAAAGAAAATAAACTAGAAACAAACTTACCAAATATCTAATGAAGCAGTGTAAGATGTTGAACCAAGTAAAACATCCGGTGGACGATACCATAATGTAACAACTTCATGACTATAAGTCCGACTAGGTACAGATTTTGCTCTGGCCAAACCAAAATCGGCAAGTTTCAATTCGCCTTGTATTGATATAAGTAAATTTTGTGGTTTTAAATCTCTATGCAATATATGTCGATCATGACAATAAGCTAAACCACGTAAAAGTTGATAAAGAAAAAGCTATAAGGAAAGAAAAGAAAAAAATCATCATTACATATATATATATATATATATATATATATATATGTAAGACGGCTGATTACCCTGAAGAAGTCCAGACACGTTTACTGAACGAAACGATGGAATCATGTAAATTTCAATCGCTTAGATTATTTAAAATATAATTAGTCACATATAAGACTATTAATAGTTTAGAATAATAACAAAAGCAAAATTGTAGGTAACAATTCCAAGGTTGGACTTGATAGTTTCAAATAAATTAAGCGTTAGGTAGAAAGGCAATATCCCAATGAGTAGAAAAATTGTATTTATGGGACGTCGTGAGTTAATGTAAGCCACCTCTTCAGAATAAATAAATAACCGAACTAAATTAACACAGGTTTAAATGGTACGAAGGAAAACAAAACGTGGCTTTAGTTTTAAGTTCAATTTACTATCCAGTTATGCACGATTAGTAGTTACAGACTACCTTGTTGGGTTATGAATGTTTATTGTAAACAATGATTGGAGATTTTAGGTGACAAAGAATCGGGGTCATAATGACGCAGATGCATTCACTATTTGCCTTCCATTAAATCCTGCGCTTCATTCAAACTTCTCATGTCATACTGCTTAAAAGTACTGTTTTCCACCATAACTGGCATTGTTACTACTTCTACTTGACATTTGACTTGATAACTTCATTTTGAAATATGGATACGGAGTGGCAACTTGAAGACTAATGCACATCTGTGTTAGGTTTTAGATTCTTTACGACAGACTGTTTGTAACGACGAATACTTTAACGATTTATAGAATTGAATGAAACTAATCCCATTGATCTAAGTAAAAACCGGTTTCTATTATCTATTTAGTGGTAGAAAATATGCAAATTGAGTAATTCTTTTTTAAAATAATCATTTTTTGTATTAAGTTATTCTATTTGAAGTCAAATATTTATAGACATACACAAAAAGGATACTATTTCATGCCATGATCTATTAACGAATTCATAATTTTTGGAGAAATACATGTTTTTCTACTACAACTACACGTAAAAATAATATCGACAATGATAAACTGTATGAGTACTCAATCGAGAAAATTATTCGGAAAAAAAATCTGGACAATTTTAGTTTGTTTTTCTAATGTAACTTGTTTACCATGTAGACGTTTATGTACTCAGCTTGAACTGTACAGCGTATGAGGTCTGAGGATACTGTAGTGAACGAGAACACAAGTGGGGTAATTGAATCTGTTTGAATCAGTAACACACACTGCAATACTACAAGGTTTATCAAGCCAAATTACATGGAGTGCGGATTTACACACGTGGTCTATCGACCTACTTAAAGAACGCATGAAGAATTTTTAACACCTATTTCAAATAGAATGAGCAGCTTGGATGAAACTAGACAACAACAACTGGAAATTGTTGCCACACAGTGGAAAAATCAAAACTGTTACCACCACAAAGTACCTCATCATATACGAATGAGAGGATTAGAACTAACCAAACACTGGATAGTATACAAGGCCAACTTATCTAGTTCTTACTTCTGACTGATTAAATTTCCAATACAACTACTAATGCAAAAGAATTGATATCACAGTTCAAACTTGAAAGATTAAATGCGATAAGAGGACTAAATATTAGTCAATAAAACGTTGGCTGAAAATTTTTACTCATACTCATTGGGACGAGCGCCTCATTCAACCATTACAATTCGACTTCACTAAACTTACTTACTGTCAAGAGACTGCACTTAAACATGATTTCATAAAGATTATAGTCAGTCTTTACATTACACTAAAGACAATCTACGAAGTACTGAACAGTTGTCTCATCCCAGTACGGTAATCCTCAGTAGTGGGAACTGGTGATCGAACCTCCCTATACTAATAAAACAAATAATTATTCCAACAAAAAGTAAACCATAATACAAAGTAAAGTTTGAAAATAAGAAAAAGCAAGCGGCAACATTTTGAACAACATGCACGGATTTCCATGAACTCAAGAACCGACTTTAGTTAGACCACTATAGAAAATCTGAGAGCACTGAACGGCTGTTTCTTTTTAGTATACAACTCGTCAGAATTGCGCATCCACGGCTCCGCACGCGGGGGCCTAACCCGGGATCTTCGGCCTCGTATGCGACTGCTTAACTTCCAGACCACTTAACCAGAATCCAACGGTGTTAACGTCTAACTATGAACGTTCAAGGAGCCCCATTCTAGAACGAAACAGCCGTACAGTGCTTCCAATCTCTTAATAGAGGTCTAATATCGACCGGTTAATGATTTTAATGGAACTCAACATTCTACATAACCACATACTGACAACATACACTTACTCGAACATTGTGCAGTTTAATACCACGTGGATGATTTTCAATATATTTACTCAAATCAGATTGCTGAATAACAAAGACAGAAAAATGTAAACAAAATGAATACAAAAAATAGAGCCAGCCTCGATATTGCTTGAACTAAATTAAATGATAAGGAAGGTAGATGTGTACCATTTGGCATCAACAAGATGAAACATGACAAAAAAATTCGTTAATATAAAAGTCAATACAAAAAGAAATGGCGCTTTGTTTAAGTTCACAATTGCTATCAACAGTTTTCGATTGGACAGATAACGACTTTAAACAGAATTTTAGTGCAATTCAATAGAAAATTTTCTTCATAGTCTCGTACATGTAAAACTAGATAATGAATAATTGAGTTCATGGTAATTGCAATCAAATTTGGTTTATTTGATAATTTCGTTCAACAATTTCAAGAGGCTATTACCATTATTACCGATTGCTGATGTCTAGGCCGAAAACGTGGTAGACGTCTCATTGTCATAATTAGAATGATTAAATTGAAATGATTTATTTTTAAAAAAGATCTTAATTCTTTTTCTAACTACCAACTGACATTCGTTTGATAAATTACTTATGTCTAGACTCATTATGTAGGCTAGTTACGTAGCTTTCATGATGATAATTGGTAATCAAATCTCCTCTTAGGAAAACTGTATATGAGCAGATTTTTAACGAATACCCATCAAGCATGAAAACTGCGCCGAGTAGCAGATTTTTCGTCATTTCTGTGTCATATTTTGTACCAATTAGCAGATTGAAATCACAGTCCATATGCTTCGGTTAGCTCAACAGGGTAGTATAACCTCCACACTAAGAGTATTGCTTAAAGTTATGTAAACGGATTTATACTCGTCTGTACAGAGTGACCACTGAGCAGAAATCTATATCGAAATCACTTGGTATTGTTTTACTTGAATCTTCCCATTGATGTTTTCGGACTGAAATTGATCAGTCTCTTATTGGCATATGTGCATACTGTGCGTATGCCTCGATATTGCCTTAATTTACAAGCATTATAAGCAAAGAAGGATAGTGGCTAGCAGTGGAATCCAGGACGCGCGTTTCGTCCTATATCGAAATTGTCTACTTATTAGGAATGAAAAATCCTGTTGAATAGCTTGTCAGTGCAACATGTCTAATTGTGATACGGAATCCAGTTCAACAAGGAGTACCAACTCACTAAAGATTACAGATATAAGTGCCATCTATTAAAAAAATATAAGTCAAGCATAGAATTTTGCCGATTGCTCACAATCACTTTACAGAATATTTCGCTACATTAGATTAACACGTCCAACTTGTGTACTAATTTATGTATAAAGCTGAACGAAGCCAGAATAACAATTGAGGCAAAATAATATGAATGTATCATTTATATTTTTAGATGGTGGAGTTTGTGCAGATGATGTTGTTCAGAAGAACGATGAAAGCTCCATGACCAAATCATCCAGCTCAGAGAACAAAACTCCGTCAGTATTATATATATATATATATATATATATATCACTTAATAAAAGCATACTAACATGTAAGTTAGGACGAATTTTTACCTACGTGCTTACTGAATACCAAATGAGAAGTTCGACTAAAGGGAAGAGAGTTGGAAGTCCAGCATAATTAATAGAATAGAACAATCACAAAATAATTATACCATCTAATTTCTCCTTGAAAATTACAAGAAATAAAGTGTTATTTCTATGCGAAAACTGAAGAGAATTGTAAAAAATAATTGGGGAAAATCGCATTGTACACCTTCTACAACCACAACCAGTCACATATGTGTACATTTCTATGAACGGTACAGAATCGTATTTCTTTTTAAAGACAGATGTTTCGTGATGATAATCTTTAGAAAAAATAAATTATTGCGTTTTATTTTAATAAAGGTAGGAAAGAATTGCTTTTAAAACAGCACAAGAAAAGAAGAAAAAGAAATCGATAACAATAGGAAAAAAGATGGTATAGCAACACCAACTGTTGAATGATTCCAAAAATAAGGAGCCATCTACATATTTACATAAACGATAGTTAGTTTCAATGAATTAAAGAATATATATATAATCAAATAACAAAGGATGAACGTTGATTTACATTTGGCCAATCATTCAAATCAAGTCAGATTAGTTACTATTAAGCAAAATATAGTCTAACACATGTGAAGATCTGGAATAAGTAACAATTTTTTTATTGATAAAATTTCCTGATTATGTGAACTATACTGCTGTAAGAATGACAGTAATGTTCTCAAAGATAAATTTTACTGATTAACATTTCTGTACCAGCTTTATAGAGAATAGAAAGAAAGGTCCAGGACAGAGTGGGTTGGAGAATGCTGGTCGGCGGCCTATGCTCCATTAGGAGTAACAAGCGTAGGTAAGTAAGTAAAGTAAGTTTATAGAGAATAAAAACAAAATTATTATAACTGATACTCATTGAAGTAAATCGATCGATTAGAAACAAGGATGTCAAGACAAAAATTAGTAATACACCCTTTACGTCGCCAGTACTTTATCTCAATTATTTTGCTACCTTATTAGTCAACCAACGCTAACAACATGAGGTAAATAAATGCTATGCCTAGTCTTCTGAAAAGACACAATTATTTCATTAGCTCAGAGCTAAGCTGTGATTTGTTACCAATTTTTGGTGATTCCAAAACGAACTAGTGACTCGAATAAACTATAAAGGTAATGACATAGAAAATAATTTTATTCATTCTGTTAATTACTTATTGAATTACCCTACTTATTATTTTAATGACCTACTATTACTAATATTGAACTAAAGTAATCCAATTTTATTTTATTTTCAAGAAAAAGAAACTAATTATGATAGTCATAATTATTTTCTAAATTTTTACAACGTAGTGAACACAATTAGTATATTCAATTATAGTATTCATTAAAGACTGCATTAAAGAATTGAAAAAAGGATAATAATAGTAACCAACGTTTGTAATCATCAAAGAGTGAACAATAAACACTTGATACTGTTTCACACTTTTTTTCTGGAAGGACTCATACAAAAATGTACCATGTTAATTGATCATTGGGCAATAGCCCAATTACATGTTTGTTATAACGTTAATGCTAATTGAATACTAGAGACAACCGCTAAATTGTGACTGTAATGGAATAGCACTAATAAAAAGTCACGTACTAATTTTCAGAATAAGTAATCATAATAAATTATCTGACCTAAAGTATTCTAGAGCCAAAGGACACTATAACACAAAATCATTGAAGAAATGTAACCCATTCCCTTATCTAAAAATTGCCCTTGACAATAAAAAAGGGAACAGAGAAAGTATAATTACAACCCCGATAAACGATGACACATTATAAGAAACATCCAATATACACAAAAAATTTTGAATCTCTCCTGAGGAATCATTAATAAAGAGTAATATTCACGGTGTCAGGAAGTCATTTTAGACAAATAAAATTGCTGAACAAAACGCGAAAGTATAAAATGATCCAATATGAAAAAAAAAAAAACCAACAAAGTATACATGTCTTCAATTGCATTATTAATGATAAAATTATAATATATCTGGTATTAAACACATCGTATACTAGGTACAACTATAGTAATAAACAAAATCTGATAAAGATGAAAAAAGTGACATTTACACTGAAAACCAAATTGACTTTATTCCTTCAATATTGTTCAAGTCGATTGATTTTCTTATTATATATAATTTAAATTCTGGTTGGTAAACCATAATTTTTTGTCTAAAAATAAGTAGTAAGTGAATAGATAAACGTTTTAAAATCACGAATACACACAGAAAGAAATGAACACTTGTGCAAATTACCTAAGATAACGACCAATGTTTTATGAGAAGGAATTGACAAATCATAATACTCTATGTAAACCTCAGACGTTCATATCAGTGTCCTTCTAGTTAATTATTTTATTCGATTGGAACATTCTATATACAGATAATTTACTATTGATCAGAGACAAAACATGAAAAACACATTTCTACAAAATTCATGTAAAAAAAAAAGGAAACCACCATGGAAATGTATGGTGATATTGATGATTACCACAGTAACTTAGGTATGAAAGGAATCTAGCAGAAAAGAATGAGGCAAAATATTGAATTAAACTATACATAACTGTGATATATGCTACTTATGTAGACAGATAGAAGTAGTATGTAGCACCAATCAGAGTGGAATGCCTACGAGCAGAGGATTGAAATGAAAAGACAGAAGAAATCTAAAAGCAATCAAAATTACATCAGGAATGAAGGAACAATGAAGTTCGTCGGAGACAACTGACGGAAGATGTACAAATAGTGTATTTAATATATGGTTTTCATAATTGATGAAGGCACTCTGTAATTTCGCCTTAAACAATAAATTGGTCTTTCCTATTTGAGTGCTCGTTCATTGTATAACTGTACTTACATATGTAAAAACAAAATTTCGTTGTATAATTAACTTACCACAAATTCAAATATAAAATTCAATGTTTTCTTTGTATGTACAATATCGTGTAAAATCACTATATTGGCATGTCGTAAAGCTTTCAATAAGGACGCTATCAAAATGAAATCAGATAAAGAAACAAATTACATAATAAAATGACACGTATTATATATATATATATATATATATATATATATATATATATATTACACTAAAAACTTTAGAAATGTATACTATATTGTAGATAAATATGTTCATATTCATTTATTCTTACACCTAATTTTTAATGCGACATATTTGGAAGAAGTAGGCAATGATAGATTAAAAGTCAACGGAAACCAATCAAGAGTTATATGTTGAGAAATTCGAACACTTCACTTCTACCTCAAGTCTGCGCTGATGATGTTGTTCAGAAGAACAATGAAAACTACACAGCCGAGACATCCAGTTCAAAGAGGAAAACTCCACCTGAATGGATGAATTAATTAGTATTTATCTTAAAATTTATGCCGAACTATAAAAATCAGGTAGAATATTATTGAAAAATTACGTAAATGACAACCATGCCAAGAAAATGATAATCAAAATACCCTAAACCCATTAGAACTAAAGTTTCCAATTATAACACAATTATTCATAGGAATGACGTAAACACGTGTAGTCACATTAGATGAACAGTATTGAGAGAAATGATAAGAGGCATTACAAAACAATCATGTTTCGTGCTATCTGGGACTCATTAATTCGATGTAATCGAATGCAATTGTTGGTATTTAAACTAATACTCAGAACAACTACTGCTCACGTTAAACAAGGTCGCATTATCAACTGACTTGTAATTCAAATAGCTACTAACGTTTTCAGCGGGTATAAATTTACACATAAGGGTCTGTAGGATTTCACTGTATACGTTATGAATCGAACTTGACCAATCTCCTTACTGGAAATATCGAGACAGTTCACCCAGGATGCAAATATACCAATAGAGACAGTTGTATAACGGTCCTTAATATCAACACAAACCCTTAAAAAGAATGTTTTAGATGCTACATCATTTATTCAGATAATTCATCGAAATAAAGAATTTTGCGAATAATGGTATGTGAATGCATGGAGTAAGTAAACATGACAAAACAACTAGAAATTATTGGTGATTATAAGCACCGAAGTTTCTCGTTGACCTTAAATATAGGTCATTAACAGGAAGAAAATTTTTTTTTCACTTAATTTACTATGCCATCAGTAAGTCAGATACAATTAACGATTCAATCCTCTAAGAATAAAAGATTAAATAAATAAGTATTCTTGTATATAACACTGTGGTAATTGTAGAGGAAATAATATTGATTATCCATAGTCTGATTACGCATAGACTAAACATGACATTTAAAGACAACCAGACCAAATAACGCTGATCGAATCAAATTTCTAAAATATATATATATATATACTGTATTATTTTGGTTATCTATTTCAAATATTAAGCTACTCGTTGCACAGGTATTCACGTACTAATGATATGATACAATGATTGGTGAAAACAATTTTAGAAAAAAGATTTCTTGTTGGCCACTTTCAAGTACGAAGTAGGATGAAGAATTAAGTTAACAAACATATAAGATGTTGTTTGTTATAAAATTTTGAAAAAAAAACAGATACTGGAAGTCAGCCATAATTAATGTCAAACTTAAAACATGACTGGATCGGTTAAAATTGAAACACTCTAGCAAAACAGTGATATAAAAATGTCAAGACAAATGTCAGAGTGGTAGTAGTAGTAGTAGAGATAGTAGGAAGCATAACTTTCTAGATTATCATATGAAGGATTGTTATTCAGATTTCTATTGATTAACTAATAGACACTTGTATTGTTGTGTATTTAGATTCAACTATTTCTAAACTTTCGTTTAATCCATATATCCTTGTCAAGTATTTCGTTATTCCAGACATTACATGAATCAACTATTCCACCATTACTCACTTATCACTAAGTTACATACACATAATAATTCTCTAATTCTGTTTCTATGTGGTCAGACGCTTCAAGTGCATTATTGTGTCAGCTTCGAGTCATGGTTAAGTACAAAAGAGGACTGATCTGCTTCCTATCTTCATCATACAATTGGAGCACGAGAGCCATAAAGAGTTAAGGTCTTGGTTGTTGTTCATCAGTCGATATGGCAAATGGAAAACAGAGGATCACCGATTCTGTTGGTAATGTAGGCGGATCAATCGATAATCGAATTAGAGAGTGATCACAAGACTGTAACTTTTTCATTACGGCTCCAATACAGCTCAAGGAATTTGTTCTCATTTCTTCCGTATGACACTCATGATGATATGTCATATGTAGTACATTGATATAGTTTATGTGATAAATTTAGTGTTACTGTATGTCAATGGTCAGGTAAAAGCTCACAAATTTAGCATTTTGATTATTTTTCTAGTTTGTAGCAAATTAGCTAAATGCTCTAAACTAGTAATACTGTAATGAAGAATCGATTATTCAGACTGACGAGATACAGCTTTAATGGTATAGAACGATCTAATGAACAAGATTTCTGCATAATAATAATAAAATTCTCAAGTCGAACCTTTGTACACAATTGTCAATAATCACAAAAAAAACAGAAACATCGATTTGAAAATACGCTTAAAAAACATTCTTATTTTGAAAAATGAGGACAACATCCCAAGATTAGAAACATAAGCAACTTTGATTTATCCATAGTAATAGGAAGGGGCAATTATTTGTTATGTTTATTCAGTCGTGTGATTTATTTGTCAAACCTTTACTATTTTTTAGACAATTCTACTAACGTCACAACTTAAAGGGAAGTTCATTCATAAATTTTTCAAGAAGTGTATAATACCATGTCTTCATTGATTGTGATCAGTAACCATTATGTCATTGACTGTTCATTCTACATTTTGTCATACTTTATTCTCAATAGATGATAGGCTGATTCTATTTCAATATGTCTTTTGATTGCTGTATTCCGTAAATGACGAATTTCGAAAATCTTTCCAGTATTATCACAGCACAAACGAGCTCATTTCATTGAAATTATGTGGACAGCTGATGGGACAGAAGGCTACTTTAAGATATGATCTATGCAAGTCAACCGACGATTAGTTACTGTTAGTATGAGTGAAAATGGGATTTTTATAAGTTTTTTTTTCTTTTAAACGGAAGGAATAAAAGATTTTTAAAATGTCAACAAGCATTGACCAGATTATTTATAAAATATTGGACAAGCAATTCATCTTGGTAAATCAATAGCACATACCTTTTCTAACCAATGTTAAAACACATCAATCACACACTAAAAAAACGCTGATACGTTTTAACTGACAGTTTTTCCGTTGTAAACCTAGTGTATTACATTCTGTAAACTGCTGACACAATATAAGGAAAAAACAGTAATAATAATAATAATGGTAATGATAAAATACACCAATACAACCTACTCAGGTATTCACAAAACGAAGTAAAACATTAAAATTAAATGCCATTTTATGTAGTTTTGTTTGCTTTTTTGTTACAAAAAAATGCCCAGAGTAAAGTGGATGTGCGCAATTAAAACTGATACCAGTTATTATTATTTACTTAAAGAATAGGAAGTTGTATCGTTTCATATTTTATTTTTCTACAATACTCCACTATCTCACTTTTCAATGTATAGTAATAGGGAGTATGAAATGATCTTAAGAATAAACAAAATGAATAGTTAACCAACAGCAAAGATAATACTTAGTGACTGTAGTGTTTACCTTCTCGAATAGCAGTGAACGGTAAGCCTTCTTCTGGATTTATACGTATTTCTTTGACAGCAACAGCACGACGCATTACGCTAAAGAATGGAAAAAAACCAAATTAACAATGTTTCAGAATAAACAGCAAAATAATGAATACTAGTGTGGGATGAAAACAAACTCATGAAACATAAAAAATATTGAATCTAACAGTGTAGCGATAGGTACTGGGTTCGAGTCCCAACGTGAAGTTAGGACGTAGATAAATCCGACTGGAAATTCTCAAATAAGATAAAACACGTTTCGTGGGTGCCACTACTAATTATAATCTAAAAAGCAAGACAACATTAAAGAAAAAAACACTCATCTGATTATTATTATTATTATTATTGATTACTTACTGCAATTAAATCAATATAAACAAAATCCCCTCATCAAACTATAGGGTTTCCGCAGTTCTGGTCAGTCACCCATACTCAAATTAGAGCCTAGCACAAAAGTGAGTTACCCCAAATTACCGAAACACAACTGTAAAGCGAAATGGCGATAACTACGTAATAATCATATTTATCGACTTACATATAGCGATGTAAGATAAACAGAATAATAATCTACTGATTAAAATAAAAAGTTGAAAATTGTGCGTTGACTTGATTTTCAAAAAGCAAACGAAGTGAATATATTCTAATGGAAACAGTGTAGATATATCTAATGGTATGATAAAAATGAACTGTTCAGTTTGTAACATTGGGGGGCAATGTCAAAAGGATATGTGATATAAGTATTCACTTTGAATAACTTCATTCAAAGTGTCAGTTACTACGAATTCACATTCATAATTATTACTCTGAATAATACAACCTCAGAGAAGAAAAATGATGAAAATAGTCTTCCCAACAATAGTATACCGATTTGAATTATAACAATCTCAAGTACGTATCTCTCAAGCGATAGTTGAATTTTGACATCATTGATAATTCACAAACTGTTGTTAGGAAGTTTATTTAAAAAGTTAAAATGTTTGACATTTAATAAAACGGTTTTGTGAAGAGTTTGCACAAAATCAAAGTATTTTCTTTCATAAGCTGTAGTCATCTGTAGAAATCACGATAATCAAACAGTAATGAACTATTTTTATAACCTGTTGATAATGAGAACTATACTATTTTCTAAAAACACTAGAATAATAATAACAGTCGTATGCTCTCTAGAAGTTTGTTTCAGTATTGATTGTTATAAATTTTATTAGACCATGATCTGTCATGAATAACGAAGCATCACATCAATATGAATTAGGATAACAGTACGCTATATCAAAGATTGATTGGAATTAAACGATGTAAACCATTGGTAATCAACTCAACACGGGAATTGTAGACAAACATCAAAAGAATGAGTAGTGATTCAAAACAACTGAAAACAATTGCCCAGGACAGAGTTCGTTGTAGAATCCTGATGCGAGGCCTATGCTCCTTCACAAAGGATGAGTAATCAAATCAACATTCTAAATTTATTGTTCTCTATAAGAGACCTAAAATACTTGTATTTTCTTCTACCTGGTAATAGTGGTATACAGCTGGCAAAGACTCTGTGACTTTTAACCACTGTGCAACCGACAACAGTTCGGTAGATGTTAGTTATTCTTAACTATTTACAAATTCAAACGTCATCTATGTGTACAGAAACAATTTATTCTAACCTTGGACTTTCTTAAATAATCTTTAAGTTATTTTATAGCCTACGACAGTGTGATAATTTATTATTCTTTCCCCATTAATTTACTCATTTCTTTGCTTACAATTATCATTCTGTTTAGCTAAACCTTAATTTAATTGACGCAGTTTAATTTTTTAATTAAAATCTCTTGATAAGTAACATGTGTGACCAAACCGATTTAAATATACGATCATAATCCACTTGGTGTTGTTTTAGTTGTATCTTCCAAGTCTCATGTTTGAATATGTGCATCCTGTGAGGATTGCCTCGATATAGCCTTAAGTCACAAGCGTTATAAGCAAATATGGATAGTGGCTACCAGTGGAATTCAGGACGCGCGTTTCGTCCTATTCAGGATTAGTCAGCTGGATGTATCTGCATCCCAGAGTTGATGTTCACTCTGAGACTCGAACCCAGTAACGTTCGCTTCAAACGCCATCGCGTCATCCACATAGCTACTGAGTTCTGATAGCCACTTGCTTGTGCAATGGGGTGAAGTTTAATTCACTTGATATTGTTTTACTTGAATCTTCCCATTGATGTTTTAGGACTGAAATTGATCAGTCTCTTATTGGAATATGTGCATCCTGTGCAGATTGCCTCGATATAGCCTTAAGTCACAAGCTTTTTAAGCAAAGATCCGTAAACAAAGGGCAACTATGTCTTCTTACTGTACTATCAAAATATTCAAAAATAGTTTTAAGGAATATTTTAGACTTTCGACTAATACTTAAATATAGAACTATATTAGCTTTTACGTTAAACCAAAGATTTCATATTGAATATCTAATAAAAAAAGTTCATTATATTAGTCGACCTTCATAGTTAATTTCCAATATATTAAAAGAAAACTTGATTGATAGAATTCAATAAGAGTTAAGAATTAAAGGACATTGAAATTGATAAACACTATTTATTGAATATAACAGCAAGATGTCTCTAAAAAGTTCAGATCAGAAAATAACCACTAACGAAAGTACAAAACATATATATATATATATATATATATATATATATATATATATATATAATAGAGAGAGAGAGAGAGAGGTAATAACGAAACTAGGGAAAAAGATTTAGATAATTATATCACACTAAACACTGACTGAAACAATACTAATCAATTTATTGTTAGAGAAAAAATAGAATTTTGATAACAATTGTTACCTTTATAAATCATAATAAGAAAAACAAAAAGAACGCAACTTAAACATTGCTTTAAACATTAACTAAAAATAAAACTCTTATAATTAGTTCAATATCGTCTTATTGTCGTATCAAGTCATATATAAATATATATGCTGTTGCCAAGGGTGCACAACTATAGGAAAGTATAAACTATAAAATACGTATATTTTTGTTACAGATGATAATCAAAAAGTTTTTATGATGGTAACAAATTTACGGATAGTAACAGATATATATATATATATATATATATATATATATATATATATATATTCGATTTACCCAGTCAAAAATATCCAGTAAATGGATTGTGAAAGTGCAGACTTCAAATTCATACGTATTAGTGGAAATTACACATACATTAAGCTACATCATGAATTGACGATAGTTTTGAATCTCTACTAAGTGATTTAAAGATAATTGATTATCTGTAAGTTTCCAGGTGATCATAACAAAAAAAATACCAATTACGGTAAAAACAGATATTTAGAGAATTCTATTCCCAAAATTATAACTCACTTAATCCTAAAAGGTGACTCAATAAAACAGGATAAATAACTAGTCCACTTTCATTTATTAAATTCGATTTTATTGAGCTGTACCGATTACAGTTTAAATTAAAATTTAGATTTACCTAATAGAGTTCAAGTGAAGTTGAATTACGGTTAGAAACAGAAACCAGGATGCATTATTTGTCCTGTTTACGACTCATCAGCTGTATCTACCTGCAATCAAATCTTGATATTTACATTAAGACTCAAACCAATTGCCATTCAATCCAAATGCTATCATGTTGCCCATTGAGCTACTGAGTTCAAAAATAGTCTATACCTTGTGAAACGAGTATAGATTTGTAAGGGTTCGTAATTTCCTGTTGTTATCATTTAAGACTATGATTTATTTATCTGAATTCAGTATTTTAATGGAGGACACCTCTTCATTCTGAACAACAATAACAATAACAATGGGTAATTACAAACTCTTACTATAAATTCAAGTCAATTTTCAAAATATATTAAATTGGTTGTAAAGTATTTTAATCCTTCAAAATAAAATATTTTATAATTTCAATGATAAATCTAATTTTCCTTCAACAAGTGATTATATTACCCAATGCCATAAATAAATAAATAAAACCATCAAACTATAATCATAATTGAGAGGATAAAAATTCATAAAAACCAACCATATATCTAAGTGGTTTCTGAAAAAAAATTATAATAATAACTCAATTTGAAGATAATTTAAAAATCATCTAATTCATTTATCGTAACTTCCAGTTGCTACACCATATATACATGAATCTAATTTACTTATACAAGAAAAAAAAATTTTCCCACCTTAATAAAATCATCATTAACACTAGAAAACAATTAACTGAATTGTTTATTTCTAATTATACAGTCAGGTTTAAATCTCATGAGATCATAAGTATTCGATAGAAAGATCACAATACAACACTAAAACTAATAAAATACATTAGATACATAGAAATATGATGATATAATATGATTAAATAATAAATAATTAAACAATAATAATTTATGGATAGAAAAAACATTAGTTAGTTTAATGGAAGCTTATAAAAAGCGAACATTAAAATATTTATGCTAATCTATAAGAAAATCAATTCACTTGGTATTGTTTTACTTGAATATTAACCACTGATGTTTAGGACTGAAATTGATCAGTCTCTTATTGGTATATATGCATAGTGCCTTAATTTACAAGTATTATAAGCAAAGATGGATAGTGGCTAGCAGTGGAATTTAGTCTTATGCGCGTTTTGACCCATTTGGGACTCGTCAGAGTTGATGTTCACTCTGAGACTTGAACTCAGTAACATTCACTTCAAACACCATCGAGTTATCTTTGCTTATAATGCTTGTAAATTAGGGCAATCCATACAGGATGCACATATGCAACCATGAGACTGATCAATTGCAGTCCTAAACATCAATGGGAAGTATTAAGTAAAACAAAACCAAGTGAATTAAACTTCACCCCATTGCATAAGCAAGTGGCTATCAGAACTCAGTAGGTAAGTGGATAACGCGATGGCGTTTGGAGAGAACGGTACTGAGTTCGAGGCTCAGAGTGAACATCAACTCTGGGATGCAGATACTTCGAGCTGACGAGTCCCGAATAGGACGAAACGCGCGTCCTGAATTCCACTGGTAGCCACTATCCATCT